GTGAGGGCTGTTTGTCAGAGACAGTGGAGGCCCTCTCTCCTTCCCTCTGCGGGGAGGACCCTGTACAGCACAAAGGATCTGAGGAGTCCCCAGTATTTGTCAGGGAGTAGAAAAGAAAAATGACGGGGTGCAGAGCTCCAACAGGCAGCCCAGGGCCCCAGGGGACACATGGGCCAGGCTGGCTGGGTGGTTCTGCGCGATACTGGGTGTGGTCACCTCAGATTCCTGGTGGTGGCAGCAACCTGGCCCTCCCTGTGTGGCTGTCACCTGACACCAGGGACCCAGTCTTGCAAAAGCCAACATAAACCACCTGGCCCTGGGAAGGGACGGTTGGCCAGGAACAGGTTGTTTGTCTATCCAAGACTGGGGGTGGGGTTGTGGAGCCTGTGCCAGGCCAGAAATGGCTGAGCAGGTGCCTCTGCAGCCTCTGGAGACAGACACCAGGGCCTTCTCATGAGCATGGCAGTTCAGATGTACCAGGGCGGGAACAGGCCCTGCTGGCTGACTTAACCTAACTTCCCACTGCAGTGATAATGACTGCTGCACAGATGAAGAAACTGAGGCTCAGAGAGGTGAATTCGCAAGACCACACAGCCAGTCAGCAGAGGACAGGATTGTCCTCATCCTCAGCCACTGCCCTCAGGCGTATGCTCAGACTGCACAAACCCTGGAGGTCTCGGCTTCCTCACCTGTGGAGCAGGGACAGCACCCATCTCGCCGCGTGCAGAGGGTGGCTGTGCAAGCCACTAGTTAAAGCAATTAACCTCACTCCGTACAGTGGCTAGGGTACAGGGATTGTCACAACTCCTGTCTTATAAAGGAAATGGAGGCACGGAGAAACTTCGTGACGTTTCCACAGCCACACAGTGTGAAGCTAGCAGAGCCCACATCCAGACCCAGGCTGTCTGTGCTAAGCCCCTGCCCCTGCCCACTCTCCTACCCAGTCCCCTGATGCCTGGCACTCAGAGAGCTCCTGCCAAACTATAGTTGTCCCTGCAGCAGTGTCTGGAGACTCTGCTCATGGTCACAAATTCTACCCAGGTGCATCAGCTCTCTAGACTCCTGGGGCAATGTTCCTTCTCTCTCTGGGCAGCTTGCTAGCAATGAGTACAAAGGAGTTTGGCTAGAAGGAAGGTACTAGACAGAAAGGCCCAGAACTGGTTTAGAAGCTAGTGTTTGTAAGCCACTGCAGTTGAGCGCAGGCTGGTGGCACTGTTCTGTTTTCCTACCCACAAGGAAAAGGCAACTGGGTCTTAGGACTATAATCTCAGAAGAGGTGACTGCAGTCCCCAGATACAGGCACTCTCCAGGGGTCTGACACCCACCTGCATCTGATCTACACTAATGACCCATTTGGTACTCAGGGGCCAGCTCAGTACACACATTGTCTGCTGGCCTCTCCCTCCCTTGAGGAGTCCCAGGCTCCCTAGATTCACCCTCAAGCCAGTAACACCTGCAGAACTGGGCCGTTCAAAACTGTAGCCACAAATTAGAGATGGTTGTGTACACCTGTAATCCCAGCAATTGGAAGACTAACACAGAAAGATTGAGGAAAATTTTGAGCCCAACCTTGGGCTACATAGTGAGTTCAAGATCAGCTTGAAATGTACAGCAACACCGTGTCTTAAAAAACAGCAACAACAGAAAAAAAAAGAGAGAAACTGCAGCCATAATTGTGCACAGCTCTATGTTTACATATAGACTCACCTACTCCTCACACCAAGCCTACGGACAAGCTTTAACATCACCGCCATTTGAGATGAGGGACCTGCCTGGGGTCACACACCAAGTGTCCCAGCCGGGTGTCACGGTTGGGTACTGACCACCGGGAAAACTGCCCTTTGATGAATAGAGATCATTGTTTCTCTTCTGTCCAAATCAAAATGATCAAAATGTATCACTGTCCCTGAAACTTGCTCTTGTGCTTGGCGCCACTACTCACACAGGATGGAGACCTCGTGGACCTCCTAGACACCCAGCTCCCTTCCCTGTGCCCTGTCCCCTCACTTCCACCAACATGTAGCACAGGTTCTCATCAACTATGCCCTAACTGGTTCCCTGTTCTAGCACTTCTCGACCAGAAGCAATCTTACCCTCTCCAGGAGATATTCTGCAAAGTCTAGAGGTATTTTGGGTTGTCACGTGGTGTGTGTGTGAGGCGGGTGACTAGTGGGATGAACAGCATCTAGTTGGTAGGAAGCAGGGCTGCTGCTAAATATCCCACAATGCTGGGTGCAGACCCCATGCCCCAACTGGTCCCAGAAGTCTCCAAGGCCAGGTTTGAGAGGCCTGGCCCCTCACAGCCTGTGGGGTGTCTCCTCCAGACATTTAGTTTGCTTGCTTTAGTGAGGAAAAAATCCCTACCCCAGCTTTCAAAACTGTCAGTGTAACTACTCATCCCCTGCTCAAAATCCACCTAGGTGTAGGTGTCAGATGAGGCCCACGCTCCCAGGCTCCCTTCTGGTCCGTGGTCCACAGGTCACCAAACGCTGAACCAATCAGGGTACAAAACTCTCCCCCACCCTTTTGGCTCCATTCCTTTCCCAGAGCCTGAGGAAACTTTGAGACTATCTGGGGCTATCTGCTCCCCTCACCCTGTCCCCTTCCTCTCTACTCTGAAAAGGGCCTCAGTCCTACCCTTCCTAAATGCTGAAGGCTGAGGCCTTCCCCTCTGAGATCTCCACAGACCTTAGCCTTGGGCTGCATACGGGGTAGGTGCTTAATGCAGTTTCTTGCTTGTAAATGGCAGGAGAAAGGGAGAGAAGGCAGGAACAACCCAAGAAGCCTCTCCCCTTGTCAGGTTTGCAGTGGCATTGGCAAATTTGGGTACCACCAGATTCCTTCACTCCAGCCCCACCCCAGCCTCACCCATTACATCTAGGGAACTTGGGGAGGGGGGTCTTGTCTCTTTGCTGAGCCTGTCTGTCTGGTTTCTGCTGGAACTGGCCACCTTTGCTGACAGTGAGAGAGAGAGAGATCCATGCTTCATCTAGGGGGTGGACCCAGGTGCCCCCAGTACCTATGGTATTATCCCTTAAGGGCAAAGTTGGCAAGCTCCAGGGGTCCTGAGATCCCCCCACCACCATTCCAACATCTGTACTCCCATTTCCCATGGCCCCAAAGCAAACACTGAGAAGCATTCATGTAGGAAACCTGGATTTCAGAGGCAGATGCCTTACACAAAAGCAGCATGTGACACCCTTTGCCACAGGACAAGACCCCCTGGCCCAATTCTCCTAACACAGCAAGATATGAGAGGCACCTCTCCAGCCCTGCCCCCTCCCCGCAAATCCCCAGCAGCTAATGTCCCTGGGCCACTAGACCTAGCACTGAAGTTAGCTGACCACACATAAAGCCCGTAGCAAGTCTACAGCATAGGTGACGGACACACAGTCACCCAGCTTGGACAAAGCAAGGCTGCGTATGAATTTGGGCGAACTGACATTTCTCAGGAGAAAAAAAAAAAAGGATGATTCTTCATTTTCCAGAAAGAGAGGTGCTTTTTATTTGCTTTTTGGGTGGTTTTGTTTTGTCTGTCTGTCTGAGACAGGCCTAACAAGAAAGATGCTTCCCCACCTGTCCAGTCTAACATTCACTGGTTCTTTGAGAGAAAAAGCAGCTCAAACTGAAGTTCCCAACAAAATTGAGATTTCCAGCAAGAGGTGTAGTTTGTTTGTTTATTAGACAGGGTCTCACTATGCCATTCAGGCTGGCCTTGGGCTCACTTTGTAGCCCAAGCTGGTTTCAAACTTGCAACAATCCACCACCCGCCTCAGCCTCCTGAGTACTAGGATGACAGAAGGACGTCACCACGCCCAGCCTGGGGGTGTGGTTTAGTATGTATGAGGGCTCAGGTTCAAGCCCCAGCAGAATTAAAAAAACAACAAAACTGAGTGTGGTGGCACATACCTACAATCCCGGCATTGGGGAGGCTGAGACCGGAGGATCATTGTAAGTTTGAAGATAGCCTGAGCTATGTAGTGAGTTGAAGGCCAGCCCAGCCTGACCTGCACGGGAGATGCTGTTTAAAAAAAAGTGAGAATCCTACCTGTGAACTCATACTGGAAGATTAGGCCCCTAGGGGTGGAATATCATGATGTTCCCCTTCCTGAAGCCCACTTGCAGCAGAGATCAAAGCAGAGAAAAAAAAAAAAAAAAAAAAACAGAGAAGAGAGGGCTAATTATCCCCAAGCTGCTCCAGATTACTAAGTGGCAACAGCCATGACCAAATAAGCCACTGGGTGCTCCTGTTTACAGGGCAACACTGACCCTTCAGGCTCTGGCTTGAGCTCCCTCCAGCAGGTCCTGCAGAGCTTCTACCAGGGACTTAGGAACAGCACTGAAATAGCCAGCTGCCAACCCTGACTCTTTCAGAGTGCCTCTCCTCTCGCCTGGGCCTGCAGCCTGCCAGAGAAAACCAAGCATCCAGCCTGCTGAAAGCAGTGTTCTCTTTTTGGGGTAATCTGAGGAGGGAGGGAACAGTCATGTGGAAACTCTCAGTCCCCTAGGGTCATGGCATCACTGGAACAGTATTAGACCTTGACACAGGACTCAGCATTCTTTCATCTTTTCTGTCCCTAAACCTCCAGAGAAGGCGTGCAGAACATACTGTTTTATACCCATTTCATAGGGGGAAAACTAAGACTTCATAGAGTGACTTATAAAGGTTAAACAGCCAGCCAGCCAGCAAGAGACCTGGGACGAGGAGTCCCAACTTCTGAGTATCCCACTGCCCTTTCCCAGGAATGCCCTCTGATCACACTCCATTTCCAAAGTCACATTCTGGGCTGGGGATTTAGCTCCGTGGCCTAAGTGCCTGCCTGTGCAAGGTCATGAGTTAGATCCCTGGTACAAAAAGAAAGAACCAAAGTCAAATTCTCTGAGACATTTTAGGAAGCACCAAGTAAGTGCCTTCATCGGAGAGAAGGAAAGCTGACTCGCCGGCCACGGCGTGATGACTGAACTCCAGCCTGGGATCCGGCTCTCCTGCCCTCACTTACCTTGTTAAATTGGAACAGGTCTCGCTTGAGCCTCTCCCGTGCAGGGTCGTGCCCTGGTCTCAGGAAACGCCTCATCTTGCTTCGTTTGTAGCTTCCCACTGGAGACCTGCAGAGAAGGGAAGGAGCCTTTGAGGCCTCTTCCAGGGCTGTGCTGGTCCCTGAGTCCCAGCCGGCAGCAGCCTGTGGGCTTTCTCCCACAAAGGCCAGAGCCACCCCGGCTTCCTGTATACCAAATGCAATCTGGTCCCCAGGAGGATGAAGAGACCTTAGAACCCGGAGCCCTAGACTTGTCCCAGGCCAGGCTTGCTCCTGGCTGGTTAATGCTCTAATGCCACCTTAGCCTCATATGGGAACAGAGGAAGCTAGGGAAGGAAGCCACTTAGCCCGGCTTTATAGGAACAAGGAGGGCCAGCAAGGCCCTAAGGTTAATTAGCTTAATTGTTAACCTGTTTTCTTAAAAAACTATAAAAGTCTGGCTAACCAAAAAAAGAGAAACTTCGTGAGCCTCCCTCCAGAAGAGGGGTAAGGTGGAAATGCAAAAGCTGTCCTGGAACTCCCCATTCGAGCCTAAATGGGGTTAGGGAGAGGCCGGGCACAGAGGGACCATCTGGGGCCAGCAACCTCTTTTCACTTCAGAGAGACTCTCACTCAGGTCTCTACAATCAGCCAAGCCATGGGAACTTCAGTCAGGGGGGCAGGGGGTACCCCGCCCGGGGCACTAGTCCATCCCATAGGGCCACGGGGCTCTCTACAGCAGGCTCAGGCCCAGCTTTCCTACTGATCCCCACCCCATTTCCAGCTCATGCCTCCCCCACTTCCAGCACCCCTGGGGTCTAGTGGGGAGTGCTCAAAACAGCCCCCTTTCCAGGGACCCAAGTGTAGTATAATCCAAAGAAATCTGCGCTCAATAAGAAAGCAGCTCAAGGCCCCCAACCCATCTAGCCACACAAAATACATTCCTAGTCCAAAGGGAAACTATTTCTGGATTATCTTTGGGGGAGGAGGCACAGACATCTGTACTGTGCTTCCGGCTCCAGGAGCAAGGCCTCCCACGAACAACAGGACACCAAGGCCTGCCCTTGGCAAACATGACGGCCAAGGCCCAGTCTGGAAATGGCTCCATTTAGTCCACACCTACAAAGGGAAGGCAAGCAGATCCAGTCCTCACCAGGGAGGAGCTTACTCTAGGTAAGACAGGTAGAGACAGGCCAGCTCAGTGTGCTAAGGGCAGGAGTGGGGCAGGGAAAGGGGCGTCTGGCCTGCACTGGGGAGTGGGATCCTATCAAAGCTGAGGCCTAAATGATGCCCTGAAGATTTTCAGCTCCTTGGGAATGAGGAAAAATTAATCACAGTGCTAGAAGAAGAGCTTAGTGACAGAGCACCCGTCTGTCATGCACAAGGCCCTGGGTTTGCCCCCCAGGATTTTAAAAAAAATCACTAGGCCAGGAGTTCACATATGAAATGAAACCTGAGGATCTAAGACTGGGGCTTGACACTGGGAACAACTGCCCATCGCATGCAATGTGTGTGACAAAGTTGGCAGGACTTCTGGCAAAGTAATTAGGGCTTGCCATGCTGGGAGGGCATCATTTTACTCTGCATTCATGCTATAAGAGAGGCAGAGACCCACATCTCTGTAAATGAAAAGCCTGGCACGGCTGGTCACTTCCAACCTTCTGAGCACTGTCACCCCCGAGGGATAACCAAAGACCATTACTTGCAAAACGGGCGGGGGTGGTGCCCCTTCACATTTTGGGAGAGTCAGCAGAGCCGCGCTTCCCACCCCTGGTAGCTTTCCCAGTCTTCTAGCAGGTAGCTTGGAAAGTCCCACTTGATCAGAGGGCCCAAGGGTCAGAGAACACAAAAGCCCCCAGGGCTCCTGGGCTTGGAAGCAAAAACAGAGTCCTGGTGACCCTGTAGGGATCTGGGCCTCTGGACAAACAGCTGAATCTGCTAGAATGCTGTGGGGGAGGGAAGAACAGTAAATCAGCATTTGCTGGGTTCCTAGGGTGCCAGCTCTCACCTGCCTTCTCTGGGTCAGAAGGCAGAGGAACCCAGAGTGACTCCCCTGGGGAGGAGAAGGGCCTGGAAGACTCAGGGAAACGAACAAGAGGACACAGAACCATGCATGTCAAGGACCTAAGGTACAAGGGTAGAGGACGTGAGAAAGGAGGGGAACGGGTGAGGAGACATCAACTGAGCCAGGAGAGCAAGGACATTCAGTGCCAGCCACCCACCCAGAGGCCGCTCCGAGTGCCCGCTGCACACCAGTCATTGTCCCGAGCACCCTGTGCATTACTGTAAGCACATTTTTAAAAGTTTGCTCAAGCAATCTGTGCTCACTGGAGAAAATGCTAACAACACAGCAGGAAGTGCTCCTTGAACCTCACTGCCAAAGACAGCCAGGGAGAGTTGGTACACATCCTGACCCCCTCTGCAGGCCACATGTAGTCTGTGAAGGTGACACCAACATCATCTCAGTCAGAAACTACCAGAAAGGTAAGTGGAAACTTCCCAGTTAGATGAGGAAACCAAGACTACAGATGCCAGGTAATTTGTCCCAGATCACCAAGTAGGAAGCAGCAGGATGCCAATCTGACCCAAGGCCTAACTCAGATCTCAGGCTTTGGGAGGCAGTGAAGAAGGCTATTATAGGAGAGAAGATTCTTAATTATACCCCTGCCATTAAAGGCAGGGACACCTGGTGACACACTCTCTAGGCTACCAGCTCAGAACCAACCAAGCAATTTGGGGCCAGGAGCTGGCCACTCACGCAGGGATCTGCTGCATACATTCCACAGGGGCCTGGCCCACTGAAGTGGGATGGGTCCAGCACCAGTTCCTCAGTGTAGGCACCTAATACAGAAAGAACAGCCCAAGGCAAGGCAGAAAAATGCAGGTATCATCCCTTCTAGGTAGAAGGGGGCAGTTTGGGACAGGCTAGCAGGCCCTCAGCTCCACCCACCCCAGATACGCAAGATGTCTGCAGAGAGGCTGCATAAAGCAGATCCTGCCTGCTTGACCCACTCAGGTTGGGAGCCAGGAGACTGAAGGGAAAGAGCCCCACATGGGGTCAGTAGCACAGTACTCTGTCCCAAGCACGGTAGCCTTTGGAGACAGCTGTCTGTGAAGCAGGTCAAGAAGCAAGGCCAAATGCTGACTGCTTGGCACAGAGCAGGTCCTGTCCTGGAAGAAGGAAGCTGAAGTAACACAACACAAACCAGCCACTGTGATGATCTCCTACAAAGCAGAGCTTTTGAGCAAATAAAGGATGATGCTAAGCTCTTGTAGCCAGGGCCTACACCTGTACTGCTCACGCATGGGCTGGAATGCTCCCTCCATGCCATGTATTCCTCGGCCTTCTGCTCTGCTGGGAGGTCCCTTTCCCACCATGGTCTGAAACTGCACCTCCTGACATTCTCTCTCTGCCTTGCTCTTCTTAGAGCCTAGGCCACTTGGGCACAGTGAGGAGTTTACTTATTAATCCTGATGACTACCTCGGGAATCTTCCTCAGGAAGTCCCTTGCTGTTGTTTTGTTTTTGTTTTTGCAGCAGTATGGACTGAACCCAGGATCTTTGCACTGAGCTACATCTCCAACTTTTTTTATTTTTCACTTTAAGACAGGGTCTCACTGAGTCACTAAATTGCCTAGCTCAGCGGCATAAGCACCTGCTTTGCAAGTGTGTGGTCGTGAGTTTGATCCCTGGTGCCGATAAAAAAAGAAAAAGACAAAGACAAAAAAAAAAACTTTAAATTGCCTAGCTGGCCTCGAACTTGTGATCCTCTTGCCTCAACCTCACAGAATGTTGGGATTATAGGCCTGTGCCACCATACTCAAATATCTTCTTGTTCTTTTCTTTTCTGGTCATTTTGATACGGGTCTTGCTATGCAGTTGGCCTTGAGCTCACTTTGGAGCCCATGCCGATCTCCAGCTCACAACGACCCGCCTGCCTCAGCCTCCCTAGTGCTGGGATTACAGGCCTGAGCCACCACACCCAACTGTCTTCTTGTTCTTATTCAGTGACTTGTCCTTTTTTGCAGTGTTGCATCCCAAGTGTAAACAGTGAACGATCACTGTTACCTGCCGCACGAGTGAACAGAGGAGGCAACATCTATATTAGTGACCTGAATGAATGACAGGAAACGTCGGCCATGAAGAGATTCAGAGACAGAGTGGGTCAGGCAGGCAGAACAGGTGTAAAGCCTCAAGCTGGAGCAAGTTTGCATGATCCCGAAGCATGAACACAAGTCAGGGCCAAGTGCTCAGAGAACTCAGAGCAAATGACCCAGGATAGACAATGAGGGTTAGAGCCAGGCCTCACAAGCCATATGAAGGGAGCTTCAGTCTAAACCTTTTGGGAACCCCTGACAGTTCTGAGCAGAGGCCTATGCAGGTCCCCTCTCCTTGGTCCCATGCAGGCTGCTCCATCTGTTCAATCTCCACCTATCCCAGGCCTGGTTCATTCAGTCCCTGGGTGTCTCTGTCTGAGATGCCCCCACCAGCACCCCACCCCAGCACATCAAGGTTTCTCCCACAAAGCCTTCCTAGTCTGACCTCCTCCTACCTTGCTACACAGTGGTTAACTGTCCCTTGCACTAAAACAGCTCCTTAAAACTGCCACCCTGCTCCACCCTGCTCACATAGGTACCAAGAGCCCGGTGAGCCCTATTAGGAAATATCTGCCAAATACAGGTGTGGCAGGAGGATTCTAAATTCATGGTCATCCTCCGAAACTTAGTGAAACTCTGTCTTAAAATAAAATATAAAAAAGGGCTTGGAGTCACAGCTCAATGTGAAGGCCCTGGGTTCCACCCACTGTACTGGGTGGGGGAAAAAGCACATACTCAGACAATACTCTGGGAGGGCTAGAGGTTAATGGTGATCTTTTTCCTTCTTTTATCTGTCCCCTAAACAGGGTGATAAGAGGATCAAATGGAGAAGGGAAGAGGCCCTGGTGGTGGGCCTACCTCCATCCTGGCGGTGGAATCACTCCTAACTCTGAGGATGGGGGTCCTCTCTAGCTGTGTCAACCTGCATGGGAAGTGGCACCCTCCCCCCATACACCAATAGGTGCAAAAGCAAAGAAAGCTGGATAATTTGGTG